CTGAAAGTTGAAGAAAAAAGAAACAAAAAAAAAGATAGAGAGAGATTGCATTTAGATCCTCCTCCTCCTTTTTAAGTGCTGTTTGTAGGCGGTTTCGCTGGTCACCTGCTTGTAGCAACATGTTTTATCTGAAAGGGAACTGAAGGTTTTCAAAGGCAGCTGGACAGTTCCTCACTCATAAACCTTAAAGACAGTTTTATTGCTGTGGTTCTTTTTATTCACATAAAGTAATTCTTTCAGTATTAAAGTTTCCCTCCAGACACGTATTAAGACATATAAACAACCTAAAGCCTTGAAAGCATGCACTCTTTCTCCCTCATTTAAAATCTATCTATCTATCTATGACTCTAGGAAAATGTACATTTTTAATATTTTGGGCAAGCCGAGTCTGGTCACTGTATAGTTATCCATCTAGATTGTTTTGGTGTGAGTTGCCAAACTTTGGAGGAATCGGCCATAGAGCTGTAACATTAGCTAGCTCACCTACCGCCATTAAGATACCGTGCAGCTTAGGTTGGCAGGTGTAGTTCAGTAGAAAGAAAATAGTTCCTACATGAAACTGTTAACAACAAAGATAGATTATTTTGACTACCTGGGTCATTCAAATTCAAAACTAAAGGCAGAAACCTTCACAGCCTATATCTCCACAACGTGGCAACTCACACCAAAAACTCTCTGAATCGCACCACAGGTAAGAGGAAGAATATGTATTTTTGTAGGGTGAGCTGTTACTTTACCTTTACTACAACAGCTTCTAAAGTTCTAAGTGTATCTTTTTTAACCTGAGGCAAAGCTAAATGTTGACCTGTCCCGCTTCCCGGCAGCGTTCCTGTAATGCCCCAGGGCGGGCTGAGCTGGTCGGGGTTGCGATGCCTTACGTGGACCGACAGAATCGCATCTGCGGCTTCCTGGACATCGAGGAGAATGAGAGCAGCGGCAGGTTCCTGCGCCGATACTTCATCCTAGACACTCAGCAGGGCAGCCTGCTGTGGTACATGGACAACCCACAGGTGAGGCTGACTGTGTGTGTGCTTAAGTATATACACATTATTGGGAACTACTCCCATGTCTCTTGACATCTGTAGAAATTTCTCTCTGAATAGTCAGCACTGAAACATCCTAACCATCCGTGCATACTACGTCTATAATTACTGTGTGTATACTTGGTGCTTTATTTTGAAGATGTGAAGACATGTTTACTGTAATAGATTGATTTCCTTCCTTCATGGAAACTTTTATGAAGGGTGTTTCCACAGGTGTTGTTCGGTTCATTTTGTTCAGAACAGTTTTGGTGAATCTCAACCTGCATCATCAGGACCCGTGTGGGGAAATCAGGTTCTGCTGACTGACAGACGTTTACGCAGCACTTTGATGCTTCTGAGGCGTATCTTTAAGTTCATGAAAAATAAGTGTGTTATTAGACTGAAAATTGACTGAATTGTTCTGAATAATGACTGAATACACCCTGTGAATACAGTACGCTTCAATTCTCTGTGAAAACCAACTTACAGGCACTTGAAATGTGCTGCAGGGAGATAATCCATCACATTGAGTTGCCTTTATTTATTTAGTTTCATTAAAGTTGAGTAGTCATTGCTAATGCAGGGACAGCTTTTAAAAGTCCTCTCAATGGTGCTTTCACAGCCACTCTCGAAATCTGACTACTGATTTGTTAGGGACTATTTACAGCGGCGGATTAGTCCACATTTGATGCTTTAGTCAGTATTTGGGGCATAAGGAGGGTGTATGTGGGCCTGAGTCAAAATAATCTAAAGTGTGTGTGTTTGTGGTGATGAAGGAAGATGACACCCAGTGCAACAGTGTGGCTCTCTGATGTGGTTTTAATAGTTTTGTTGACAAAAAGAAAAGCATTGCACACTTTCTATCATTATTATTGCCTTATCTTTTAACAGAAGTTGAAGTTAACGAAATGCTTTGATGCATTGCGTATAACTATTAAGCAAGTCTCTACAAGTTGATTTTTAAAGTGAATTGAGATGAACTGAACGCTCCTCATCTGTGTAAACTAACCTGTACAGTGCATCGTCTCAACCAAATACAGTAGTAAGGAAGAAGATTTGTAACCAGAGGAGGTGCTAACAATATAACCTATAAAAAGCCTCAACAAAGGTAGGAGAGCCTTTTGGAGTTTGGAGATAAAAGAGGAAGTTGCTGGTTTATAGGACAGAACAGATTTTAGCTGTGGTTGGTTGAAGCCTTTGACATGAGAGTGACACTTTGGATAGCTTCTATCAAACACATCTGAGCGGTTTGACATAGACTGTCTGTGTCAAACCAAGCAGACAAACAGGAACTAGAACAGAAATTGAAAAAGGTTAGTACTAGTAGTATTTATATTTCCCACAGCTGGGGAGTTCTTCAAACCCTGCAGCTTCTGGCAGAACCGGGTCGGGCTGATGCAGGTTTTTAGGGCAGTTTCAACCAGTTTGACTGATGATGATAATAATATAATAATAATAATAATAATAATAATAATAATAATAATAATATCTCCTGATTGGGTAAATGTCTACAGGCTTTTTAGGGGAACAAGTCAATAACAATACTTTTACTACTGCTCCTACTTCTACAATGAAACTCTATAATGAAACTAATGCTTTTATATTTGTGTTTCTTTGTTCAGAATCTGCCTAAAGGTGCAGACAATGTGGGATCTCTCAAACTCACCTACATCTCCAAGGTTAGTCCTCTCACACACACAACTTCAGTGTGGCCATTCCTTTGGTCTACGACTAAATATCTGCAAAGGTAATTCCCAACAGCTTCAGGTGTACTTTATGTTTAGTGCCTATTAGCCAATGTTAGCAGGCTAAGTTGTCACACTAAGATGGAGATCATGGTAAAGATTACACATGCTTATCATCAGCACGTTAGGATGTCATCAGCATACTGATGTTAGCAGGTTTGGGTGGATGCAGTAACGTGTTCCCTGCTTTCTGACCACGTCTTATTCTCACTGCTAACAGTCAGGTTTTCATTCAGATGTTCAAACTGTGTTCTCTCTCTCTCTCTTTCAGGTCAGTGATGCCACCAAGCTCAGACCAAAGGCAGAGTTCTGCTTTGGTAAGTTCATCTTTATTTTCTCCTCACTATCTTTCCCTCTGCCAACGAGGTTATGTTTTCGGTGCTGTTTGTTTGTCTGTGAGGAAGATTATGGGAAAATTACTGGCCCAATTTTCATGACACTTGGTGGAAGGGTGTAGCATGGGAAAAGGAAGAACCCATTAAATTTCAGAGTGGATGAGAATCACAGAGCGGATACACCAATTATTTTTTCCCCCTTGATTTTCTGACCTGCTTAAACCTGTCTTTACGGCATTGAGCGGTATGCACATTTGCATATCGAGGACTGGACTATGCCTTGGACTGGATTTCTATTTTTTTTCCCTCTTTTTCTCCTTCCCTCCCTGCTACTGTTGGTGGTCTTGTATAAGTCCCTCAGTTCCAATGAAGGTGAATGCTAGGCTACAATATACAATGAGACAATAGTGAGCTTCCAGCTTTGTGGCAACAGTTTGTCCCTTTCCTGTTACAACATGACAATGCCCCCGTGCACAGAGCCAGGTCCATAAAAAAGGTTTTCCCAGTTAGGTTTGGAAGAACTGGACTGGTCTGCACAGGTCCAACGCCTTTGGGATGTACTGGAATGCTGACTATATTAGACCTCACTAATGCTATTGAAATCCCTGCAGCCAGGTTCAAACATCTGGTGTAAAGCCTGAAACCAGAAGAGTGGAGGCTGGTATAGCAGCAGATTAATGCCACATATGGGTGCAATCTTCAGCTGTCCACACACTTTTGGCCATGCAGTGGACGGCTTTTCTCCTTCATTTCTTCCTGTCCAATCTCCTTCGTTCCCACTCCTTCCTTGTTTCCTTCCTTCCTTGTTTCTCCCCTCTTGCCCTTCCTTGTCCTTTTTCCCCCCTCTCTACCTCCCTCTTTTCCTCTACCGTTTATTTCCTCTCTTTTGTCCCTTGCTGCTTGTTGTTGTTCCTCTGGTGGCCAACAGTAGCTTTTTGTCGCTCAATAGGAGGAAACTGTACAATATCCCTGACCTGACCTCTGTATGTGCGTGTGTGTGTGTGTGTGGGTATTTGCATCTGGATGGGATGTTAACATACACACACACACACACACACCACACACACACACATCCTCCGCCTCTCAGAAACCAGAAACAAACTGATATTTTTAGACCGTGATTTGCATGGAGCTCAGTGCACTTTTCTTCTTCCTCTTGTGTTTTTGGAATGTTTCAAAGTAAGAAGGTAACAACGGACACGTTGACCTCTCCCTCTGTCTTTCTGTTTCTGCAGTTATAAATGCAGGAATGAGGAAGTTTTATCTGCAGGCCAACGACCAGCAGGATTTGGTGGAGTGGATCGGTGTTCTCAACAACGCCACCAAGATTACTGTGAGCCTCACACACACGCACACACTGATGGATCAATAGGTGACCCTGTTTCTCCTGTTGTTGTAGGCCGCTCTGTCTTCTGCCTCAGGCTGCAGCAGATGGAAAATTACCCATCAGGCCAGAGAGATATACCGTAGTTCAGTTCAGGTTTAACAGAGTGTGAATGGAAAGCCAGGCTATCGTATCCATCTGCAGATAACTTCAGTCTGCATGACAAGAGAAACACATGTATTATTGAGTAGTTTACCGTTCTCACAAATGTTTTTTATTTCTTCTAAGGCTCAGTCATTTCCTGAAACAGCTGGCCCCTGATGTTTTTAGCCAGATGGAAATAGTGCATTTGTTTGGGACTATTTTCTGATGCAAATCAATTCACATTTGGTGCTCTAGTGCAGTGATTCCCAACATGGGGGTCAGGACCACACTTGGGGTTGCCAAAAAATTATGGGGGTCACAAGGCCTTCTTGATTTTAAAGCGTGTAAGACTAAATGAAAATATATATAGTAGGCCTATATCTCAGCATTTGGTTCACTGCTGTGAAGAAAAATAAATTTAATGATTGTTAAAAATTATTTTAAAAAATACGTACAGACAGAGAATTGTATAAAAAATTCCCTAAACAGGAAATAATCTGCTCCAAATTCCTCCACAAACTTCCTGCAGTTACTGAGTTCACTGTTTGGGTTCATTGTACAGTTTTGAATAAAATAAAAATATACATAAAATATGTCACTGAGTCAGGGGTTATTGGGCTATTTCGGGCAGTGGGGCAGTGTATGTGAGTCAAAATACAACAGTGTGTATGTTCGTGGTAATGACAGAACATGTCACCAGTGCAACAGTGTGGTTGGTGTCTTTGCCATATATCCACAGCCTAACATATCTTCTTTAAGCTCCATTGTTGTCCAAAAGCTTTTAAAAACACAAAAGCAAAAACTGCTGATCCGGGTGCTGTTTGGAGATGAAAGACAAGATTCAAGATCCCTAAAGAGATAAGAAAAAAGATCAACTAGCTTAAACCTTAAAGATCCCCTCCAGACACAAGTAGTCTGCAGGGACCAATATTATGATACACCCAGCTGTAGGAACAGGAAGAAAACGAGTGGAGGGGGACTGTATCCATTTGCTTGACACACAGGACTGTTGGTAATCTTATGTTGTGTCTTTAGGTGCCAAAGCCAGGTGAGGGCCACGCCGCCCACGCAGAGACTCCCCAGGAAGTACTTGGAGCCATGAAACAGGTCTCCTACAAGACCGAGATCATAGGAGGAGTCCCTATCATCACCGCTACACAGGTAACACACACACACACGCTCTGTTGTACGTGTTGTGATAGCAGCTGTCAGCGGCAGCAGTTCGGCACGTCAGGTCCTGTCTACAATGGTATGCAGCCACAAACACGTGACCCAGCACGCATCACATCACAGACGAGTGATGGCTGGTTTGAATTTTATAACTGGAAGACTGCAACTTAACTTTTTGTTTTTCGGTCTCACTGTTTTCATCACGTCTCTTCTGGCTGCAGCAGTCAGCTGTTTTCTGTGAAAAGGCTCAGTTAAACACACTTTACACTACCTGCCCAGCACCAAACAGCACAGAGACTCAGTCAGCAACCAGCTGCTGAAGGTGGAGCGTTTAGCAGCGAAAGAGACAGATCTCTTTCTCAGGAGTTGGTGGAAAACAAATAGAGCTTAACAGAGTGAATATTGGATTCATCAGGTCCAAATAGATGCTAATGTTGTTCACCTTATTTCATCAATATTTGTGTGTACGTGTGTGTTTTAGGAGCAGGGGGAGGGGCAGAACGGGGCGGAGCGCCGAGGCGTGAAGCAGGGTCAGAATCAACTGCCCTACTTCCTGTCCAGAGGAGCGCAGGACCAGGCCATCATCAAGGCCGGATACTGTGTCAAACAGGGAGCTGTGGTGAGAGCACACACACACACACACACACACACACACACACACACACACACAGTGGCCACTTATACAACTAAAGTTATAGGTCCTGATTATATTTCAAACAGTATCACTCCCCACCATGGACCACTGACAACTAGACAACAAGATAGTATCTTGATACTTCCTGTCCAGATTCCCATGAACCTTGCTGTGGATATTAATGCTCTCCAGAGGATGACTCCTAATGTTACTGGTGATAACTTGACCTTTCCCCTAGCCCCATCATTAGACTGAATTGTCAACTTGTACTCAAGAAATAAGAAAGTTTAATAACCTGTTTTTCATGCACTGTTCCAAGTACATTCCTGTTCCTCAGAGGAAGAACCCTTTTGGATATAATGACCCTGTGACCTTTCCTCTAGTGCCGCCCTCACAACAATCTTTACATTGTAATCTGCACCACTGCGAAGCCAAATTAAATCAGCTCTGTGAACAGCTAATGTGGTTTTGTCAGTTTTCAACAAAATGAAACTTACATACGAGGGGGCTAAATGAACACCACTGAGGTTGATAGATAGCTCTGCTCCTCTTCCTCAGATGAAGAATTGGAAGAGGAGGTACTTCATGCTGGATGAAAACGCCCTCAGCTACTACAAATCGGACCTGGTAAGAAAATGTGTTCTTTAAAAAACACCCTGTTACAGCAGAGAGCTGGCTGTAACCGGGATACTGAAGTGCCTGTAACTACACCAACTGTTGGCTTACATTACACCTAATCATGTACACACACACACAAACACACACACACACACACACACACATAATTTACTAGAACTTAACAGTTCAGTAACACTGTATGAATGTGTACCTCCCATAGCAATTAAGTAAACTGAAAGGAAAATGCATCTGAAAATTGAAAGACAGAAAGCAATGTGTGTGTGTGTGTGCAGCGAGGCATGTTTTTCCCTCAGTCAGTTGTGTGTCTCTACATGCAGCGGCATGTGTCCCGAATACCTCCTCACATGATCCACGTGTGGACGGATTAGCGAGTCCTATCCACAGCCTGTCTGTGCACATAAACGGACACACCCAGTGTGTGTGTGTGTGTGTCTGGTGCATACTGGCTGCGTGTTCATTCCTTTAGATTTTCCATTGTAGTTATTAAACAGTTGCGCATGTGTGAAGTGATGATGATGAGTACAACTGTTGAAAATGCGTCACTTCTTCAATCAAAAACATCCCAAGTTGTTCAGAGATTAAACTTTATTGTTAATTTAGGAGGAAACAGATAAAGAGAGAGAGAACAGAGAGAGAGGGAGAGAGAAACCGATAGAGAACAGGGTGGTGTGAGGTGCTGCTAGTTTCAAAGGTATTTCTCACCATTTAAAACATCTCCACTTTATCTCCTTAGTGTTCCTGAACATAGAAACACAGAAGTCTCTAGGATAATTTAACAATGCTCTCTGTTTATGTTCTGACACTCTGCTGGCAGTGTTGCCACATATCCTTTCCTGCTAACACAGTTGCAACAAGCAGTGTGCCTACTGGCTGGTTAGCAGTGACTAACGCTTTTAGTTATTAAATTATATATGAGAAATGGTAACTTAAGGCTACTCCGCTGTGTGTGTGCGCACACACCTAGTTCTTGCCAGCCATGCATAGGTTTGTGCCCTACTTGGGTCAAAAACATGTGGATACACCACTGCCAGGCAAAATCTAATTCCAGCTAAAACAGCTGCAGATGATACGACAGAGCTGTACTGTAAAAATCACATGTCCTGTAAAACACGTCTAAAATGAGACAGGAACATTAAACGCAGTAAACCACACATATAAAAGTTATTTGAATAGTCTATAATTGTCAGTAACCAGCAGAGGAATGCCAGTGCTGCCCCACTTACCGAGGCTGTGGGTTGGTGAGAATGTGAGTTACCAGGCTTGGAACGTTAATAACAAGTACGCTGTCAGTGTCTCTGTTACAGCTGCCGGGTTGGGTTGGATGATATGTACTGTGAGAGAATGTGGGCAATGTACCTCGAAGGGTTTTGGTGAAGTTCAGGAGCTATAACCCAGAATGGAATGAGTCTGCTATGCTACACCTAGCTTTAAGTCTGGACGTGAACACAGCTGACTTCACCGCAGAATCATCTGCAGACTTTCTTTGGGTATTTTTGGTGACACAGGTACAAAGTATTTGACAGGAGGATTTCTGTTCTTGACAAGATAAAAATCTAAATCAAACCATGAAACATGGTAGAAACATGGTACAGACAAAGATTAGATGAGTCACGCAGATTTTAAAGCACCATACCTGTGGTTTTGCCTGTTTTAGCTGTTGTGTGTGTGTGTTATTGATTCCTCTCCCTTTCCTTGTAGGAGAGGGAGGCTCTGAGAGTCATCCCGTTGAAGGAGATTCACAAGGTCCAGGAGTGCAAACAGAGGTCAGTGAGCTTTCTTGTTAGCAGGTGAATATGTGCTGCTGTTCAGGCATTAGTGTCAATTCACATCACATCACAGGTGATTAAACATGGCTGCTGCTTCGGTCTCTGCTCTGTATTCTGCAGCGAGCTGATGATGAGGGACAACCTGTTCGAAATGGTCACCACCTCCAGAACTTTTTACATACAGGTAACACACACGGTTGTGTCTCACAAGAAGCTGCAGTATTTTGATTAATGTAAAATGTGTGACAAACAGCATTATAATGAAATACTGTAGAGCTGCAGAGATGTCCCAGTCTACAAATCTTGTTCTCCAGATGTAGGAAAACATGTTTGTTTGATACAGATCCCAACAAATGTCACATTATTGGGATTTTACTAGGTTTTTCAATGATGCAAAAATGTTCATTCCCACTAATCGAGGATCATCAATCGTATTATCTTTCAAAATAATCACGATATGATTTGTTTTTACCATATGGTGCAGCCCTAACGCATCCATATGCATAGTTGAGACTGCATTCACTGTCCACATGGCCACTACGCTACAAGGGCAGGTCTTCCAGTAGACACCGATGTACTGCGTCGACTTCTTGGACTCCACAAAGTAGTACAACACTCGCCATGGTGTCCACATTATGCTCTAAGCACCGTGTCTCAGTACAGCCGCACAGAGCTGTTAGCATGGCTGTTAGTCTTTTGCTTTCACACAGTTTTTATAGAAAAAGGTTTTATCTTTTCATTTTACTTCTTCCTTATGAGCAATTTCTAAGTGTGTTTTAAGTTAACAGAGTCGCCGTATTATGAGTACTGTACTGTACTCACAAATGACTTCTTTCACATCCTTCAGATGTAACATTGAAAACTCAATGAGACAAAGCAAAAATATAAATTAATGTAATGTCTCTCTCTCACTCAGGCTGACAGTCCAGAGGACATGCACAGCTGGATTAAGGCCATCTCAGGGGCGATCGTGGCTCAGCGCGGCCCTGGACGCTCAGCTAACACTGTAGGTATCCTGTTGTTAAAGAAGAAATCGACCTCTAAACACCCACAGCTTTCCAAGCAAGTTTCCACTAAAATACTAAAAATAAGACACAGAAAAAAATTGATTTTGTTTTGTGTTTTACAGAAACTTGAAATTAAAAAACTCTAAATGGTATTGACTGTAAATTAAGCGATTTATAAACCATTTTACATTATTTTCTAAATTAATTTTTATCTTTTTACAGCAGAACATATCCACACAAATGAACAAAAAGAGCAAATAGTAACACATATACACTTACTGTTAAGATAAACAAGGCATTTTGCTTTATGATTATATTTGAAATCTCTCCACCAGTTGGTCAGCGAAGCCCCCATACCCTGCTGTTTTTGGTGAAGTGTCTCCATCTTGTGGCAGGAAGAGTTACTGCAGCAGACATTAACACTAACATTTTAATGAGATTATTTTCATTCATCTTTAGATCACTTAGATGCTCAACTTCAATATCACCTCAGTTGTATCCCATATTTAGGAGTACAGTAATTGTAAATCAGTCATTAGGTGATTGTAAGTGTCGGTCAGTAGATAATTTATCTGTCTGTTATGTCAATATATTGTAATATGTTACCTCACAAATTCTACAGATTCAGGTATGTTTTATCTGTTTTTCTTTCTTTAGGAGTTTCACAACCTGATGATAATGATAATGATGGTTGAAATTGGTTTTTTCATGCCCTGAAAAGTGTTTTATTTTGCACAAACTGTCTGTTTCAATGTGTCTGTTAATTTTCCCACACACACACACACACACACACAGCTAATGTTATTTTTCCATATCTTTTTCCGTTCTCTCTCTCTCTCTCTCTCTCTCTCTCTCTCTCTGTCTCTTCTCTCTGTTTGAAGAGTTTCCTTCCAAGACCACACACTTAACCACCAGAGGAAGAAAGGAACAAATAATGTAGACTAGACCATTACATTAGTCATATTGGTATGTGAAAATAATGCAGCCAATCAGCGGAGCGTCTCTTTGGCCAATGTATAATGTGGGAACAACCTATTAAACACTGTTTCCAGGAAACATTTCGGAGACAATAGGAATGTTCTGTCTTCTGCATTGAAAAAGGAATAATCGGGCAATATAACATGTACAAACACAAGCAAAGCTTCAGTTAATGCTGAATATTTGCATAGAAATGTTGATATCATGGGACGTTATGACTCAGTTCAGGGCCTCTGTGGACGGATGTGTGGCACTGTGGAAAGGAGCTCTTCACATTACTGTAACTGAGCTGTGCTGTAAACTGTTGTTTTCAGGTCCGGCAGGCCAGAAGGCTGTCCAGCCCTTGTATACAGAGGTATACGCCATTCTGCAGTGGTGAATGCAGCACGTATGTGACCCCATGCCCTTTCCCCAAACCCCTCCATTCACCCCCAGCCACCAGCCTCCTTACCGAGCATTTACCTTTGCACACTACAGGAGTTCTCTGGTTCGGCCTGTTTTTATCTACCAATACAGAAGCCAGAGTGAACCCTGTAGTGTTCATCCATCCTGTAGCTACTGCTAGCTGTATGGTTTGATTAGTCTCGCCGCCTGCTGCTTCAAGCAGTGGACCAACCCTTTAAGACCAGATCTGTAGTAGCAATAGGTAGATAGTTTGTAGACTTGGGTTAATTGTATTTGATATTCATCTCAAATACAATTGTGTTTGTTCCTCAAAATGGGAAAAACCTGAATGTTTAGGGCTCTGTTTCCTTTCCACCTGCATTAACACGTGTATTTTCCCTGAATCTGTAGCTCAATTCACACAAGCGTCACTGTGGATCTTTACCTGACAGTAAGCTTTGTGTCTCCATCTGTCACTTATGAAAGCTGCAGGCTTGTGTCTGTGCACCTTGTGGTACAATTTATGCACGTTGTACAGTACAAGTTAGTATTACACAGATCTTAAAGGTGCAGTGTGTAAGAGAGTTAAGAGTTAAAGACATTCAGGAATGAGCTAAAATGATCAATGATACAGCGATACAACCGAACACTTTCTGAATTCAAGTTTCTCTCTTTTAACAAACTAAGACTAGCTTAACTGCCTTGTTAACTCATTGTAAAACATACTTCATTCAAACTCAACAGAAAAAATAAATAAAACTCCAAACTGTCTTTGCTGAGCAGCAGTTCTCACTCATACTTTAGAGGCAGACTTAAAAACCCTAAACAACCACCAATGGACTCAGCTATTCACCAATAGCGGCAAAATTTGTCCAATCGCCACACCCAAAAGCTTAGTGTACAGGTCTTGAACTGCCATTCCGGCCAATTTGATATTTTGCAGATCTTTGAAAATCATTGCATTGTTAAACAGGATTGTCTTGCTGTTTGAGGGGTTGAGGTTGTATATAACGCAGTTTGATGCAGGTGGAAAGTGAGTCCTAAATCCGTTCGGGAACTATAAAACAAACATCCAAAAGTATATGAGTGCTGCATGAAATATGCCTGAGTGGCCTGAGTCCGTGTGTCTGTCCTTATGTAGGCAGATATGTTTGCGCAACACTGATGATCATCATCCTCCATCATAACTCGTCCCTTCTTATGAATCTTGACTTAGATTAACACACTGGTCCATTGATATCCCAGCTTCTTGTGTAAATACATTTCTTTTCATTTTTTATACACAATGACATGTGAGCAGAGCCCATCCCTCCATCCACGTACCAGTCGTTCCTTTTCATTCTCTTAACATGACCAATTATCTCTGAACTCTTTATGTCTGTCCTCAGTCTCTTCTTCCTTGTCTCATCTGTTTTATCAGTGTTGTGTGTCGTTATTCACATCTTAATAACATTTGCAGCGTTCCTGACTCCCAGCAGGACCAAATTCATCATGAGCTTTTTCTTTTTTTTCCCACTAACCCTTTGTCATGTTGTCTTTTCTGTGTTTCTGCGTGTTTGTTTGTGTGTGTGTGTGTGTGTGTGTGTGTGTGTGTGTGTGCGTGCGTGTGTCCACTTTTCAGAGAGTGAGGTGTGACAGTGACGTACTAACCTTCCCCAAATGAGCCCTGCTGCCTACTTCCTGCCCCTCCCACCGCTGCTCATCGTCCAATCACCAAGCCCCACTGCCTCTCCGCTTCCTTAGCAACTGCTGTTTGATCCTGCCCCGCTCCTTGGCAACTGCAGCATCACTCGCTCGTACGTGTTGCTTGTAACTGCATGAACCCTTGTGTTCGAGTCACAATTCACAGCATTTCGTCTGGATGGATATTGTGTGACTCCATATCTCTCTAAAATAAGCTGGCAGGTAAAATGTTATAACTGGAATAATGGGCGAACAAAAACAAATTGTACTTTTGATGCTAGTTCAATAGTCAAGAGTATATTTATGATCTTCAGCTGTTTCTCAACAGGGAGCAGTTGTTTTGGGCGTCCAGAGTTCTGGATGTAAAAGTCTGGTTCTGCAGTACTGCAGGGTTAGAAATTAAATTCTCCTGGTTGAATCAGCAGTACAAAATATGAACAGCTGTGTTATCATATATCTGGTTCTTTTATAAAAAGTCAAAGGTACAAGCCTGTGGACATAAAAGCTCATAGGAGAGAAGTCAACAACATCTTACGAAGTGCAATTTTTTAAGAAACTTCCAGTCACAGAAATTAGTAGCAATAGCTTACAGTTTTTAGCGAGCTAACCGTGTTAGTCCCTTTTCATTGTGAGCACTGACTGAAGTGTGGATGTATTTCCTGTAACTGTAGCCGAAACGCATTTCTTGCTTTTAAAACTGTAATGCTACGCTAGCACCTATGTATTAGCCCCTCTGACCACAAGGATCCCTGTGTGATATTTTTAAGTTTTATCTACCTGCTAAGTTATCAGAGGTGATGGAAAATTCCTACAATGACTCTGTATTGACAATATAATGTAAAAACAGAGCAGCTCCTGGTGGACATGTAGAGTATACTTGTGCCATGCTGTCGCTGTGATCTGGCTCCTGCTACTATCTTAGTTTCCTTTCTAATGCAAAATGTTTGCTGAAGTTTATTTTAACCCATAAAATCTGATATACATGTTCATTTTTTTGCATGTCAGTGTTTCCTTGATCACCGGAAAACATAACTTGTCTCTTTAGCCTTCTCATCTATTGCTATTCCTGAAAGTGAGTGAGGGTATTTCCCAAAATATCAAACTTTACATTCAGAGTTTACTGGTAAACAAGGTGACGTTAAAGACCTGCTCTTCTGACAGGCTTCCCTTTATACCTTTTATTTTCTCTCTCCTCACACTGCACTATCCATCCATCATCCATCCACCGAGTCATCCCAGTATTCCGTCCATGCACCCATTCATCCATCCATCATTCACAACCGTCTTTCTCTTCTGCCTCTCACTTCCTTTCCCCCTTCCTTCTCTCTCTCCAGGAACGCAGTGACCACTCCACTCCCTCCCCAACAGCCTCCTCCACCTTCTACTACCCCCTTGACCCGGAACTACACCCCCCACAATCCTCCTCCAGCTCCGCCTCAGCGAGCCCTCAGCCTCACACTGGACACCCACCGCCAAGACAACTTCCTGGGCCTGCTTCCGTGGAGGCTGAGTGGTGTCCAGTCCGTGATGTTGCCCCTCCCGTCAGCGCGCTCCCGCCTGTCGCTGCAGGAGACAGTGCAGACTTCAAAGTAACAGAGGAGGAGGAGTCGCTGTGGAAACGGCGCAGCGAAATCGCCCGGCTGGGATTTGTTGGCAGCGGTGGTGGGGAGGAGCTGAACAGTCGCACCACTGAGAAATCTGACCTGCAGATCACCCTGATTTGACGATGACGAACGTGAGGATGATGATTGACAATCTTTAAAGGATACACACACGCATACACTCTTCTGTATGAACTCCATGTGCTCTGTGTGCTTAGAAAACTACCTGACTGGCCAAATGATCCTTCTACAGAACGTCCTGGGACCATTTATTATATGTGTGTGCACATGTGGAGTAGGACCTTCTTCCTCTACTGTTTTCTCCTTCACTTTTGTCTTCCCGGATATTATTTACAAAGTAAAGCTGCTGGCAAACAGAAACCATGTTTTCATGCAAAGGAAAACAGATGTTAGTACGTACAGTGAAGGTTTGACATGTTTTAGTAGCACAAGAACCACGAACCCTGCTCATTGCACAGCGATGGGCAGGTTCCATGATTCATGTAAGAAACAAACCAAAGTTTGCAGTCGTGTGGTTTTTCTACAGCAGCAGATCAGATGTTTAAAACTGAGAGTGTCAGCTGTTTGTGTCTCTCTCTACTGAGAGACTGACTAATTCTCAGTTTATTGTTTAAGACAATCCCGCTTAATATTACAAACTCTTCCTACAAATTTCCACTGGAGAACTTTTACGGTCTCCTCTCTCTCATCTCCGGTTGAAAAGGTCATCCTGTCAAAGTGCTTGTTAGCGCTTTAGAGCTCCAAAGTCCAGATTTACTGAAGTTGCATTTGTAGGGATGTCTGCTCATTGTTTTCATCTTATTGACCACCATTTACTGCGGGTGAAGTCCTTAAATCTCTAAAATGTCAGTATTTAGAAAATAAGAAGGTCCAGTGTGTAGGATTCAGTAGCGTCTAGCAGTGAGGTTTCAGATTGCAACCAGCCACTCGCCTGCTACGGTGGCTGTGAAACTTCCAAAAAAGCAAAATGCTCTATCTGGAGCCAGTGTTGATTTGTGTGTCCAGGGCTACTGTAGGAATATGGTGGTACATTTCAGACTCTTCAGAAGAGGACCAGCTCCCTCTGTAGATAAAAACGGCTAATTCTAAGATAATGAAAACACCATTCTTCTTCTTTTCTTCTTATTTTCAGGTGATTTTACACTAATAAAAACATACCTGTCCCAAAAAGAATTTTCCCCCATAGACTACCATTATAAACGAGATGTCTATAAACCTCTTGACAGGACACCTCGAAGGCCTATAAAGGTCTATAATACATTTTAAAAACATTGATTTTATATTTGCTAAATGTTCCACGAGCTGAGAAAACTATTTAAAAATCTGTGACTTCATCAAGGCTATGGGCGGAGCAGGAACTCGTACACAGGACCAGCGGGAAAATTACTACTGTGCACATTCAGTGTGCCACGTACCCCGGAAGTATACCCGGAAACTAGACGCTTTCTGGATGCATGTGCTAGGCAAGCATTCTCATTGGACTGAATAGGCGCCATCTCTGAATCTGGCATCAGTTTTAAATAATACATCCACGGTAGCTTCCAGGTAGCAAGCCAGCTAGCTAAGCGGCCCACTTTGGATGCTTAGTGCCAGCTAGCTAGCGTGTTACCGGGTTAGCTTGTCAACTAGCCCCACAAGTACTTCATACGTCCCCCAGCTTCCATTTTGCGAGGACATGTATAGAATTTTATGGTGCCACTTTCTGGCCTGGCCGTGCACTACGACGCATTCAGTTGGTAAGCTAGAAATCAAACTTCATCAACATATCTCCAGCAGTAATCTGGAGCCATTCATTCTTTATAACCTGTACCATGTATAAATACATCTCAAACATCAGTCCACTCATTGCCTTGCCTCATCTACACATACAGTATCTGGGTTTTACAGTGACAAGTAAAAACACTGTATTTATAAAATGTCAGGGTTTCTGAATTATCAACATGAATTCAAAAACTTTTCTAAATCCAAAGAATATTGGAAAACTTCCAACTGAAGCAAAAACATGACATTTACCAAAGCAGTGACACAAACTTTGATAGCACTTTTGGCTGTGCAGACCACCAGAGAATCTGAGCTGAGCACTTACAGTGAGACGACTTAAAGCAGCGTTAATAAAAGGACACCCTGCTGTGGACTGATTTTCATTTTTTCACCAGCTTTACTCACCTCACCTCGTGCACTGTACATTCATTACCGTTCCTTTGTAAATCCATCAGATGTTGGTGTATTTCTGTTAATGTTTTTTAGTTTAAAGATGTGGGGAGACGTGAAACCAAACTCATATTGTTGATCTGTTGATCTGTAAATGTTGTTTTTGGACTTGGGAGCCCTTTTGGAAACCGGTTGTGGGTGTTTTTTCTGTTCTAGTTTGCTTTTAGTTTGGATGATTTTATTATTCACAGGGATGAGATGCTTTTAAGGAAAAAAAATCTACACATATATGTTGTTTACTGACTTTTATAAACACGTGTGCATGACTGCATGCACACAACCGCCTCCCCCACCACCGTTGTTCCCTGTTAAACATAAGCTGGGTAAAGTGCCTGCGTTGTTGTTTCTAAAGAGTTGATGAAAAATGACAAGCTGTTTTGACCCTTTTTAGTGTACTTGATTCTAAGACCATGTGCTCTGTTTATTAAAAGACATTTGAAAATAGTTTTTCACTGGATTCAGGCGTCTTGTTTGCTCACAGGTGGACTGAAGGAGAGTTGTTGTTCTCTACAGCGGTAGCTTGTTCTCCAGCTCAACAAACAAACACTTACAAATGTCGATATTTGCATGGATAAACCCCAAATCAAGATATTAGAACTAAAAAACATTACATTATTGTGGTGCATTAGGAAAGCATTGAATAAAAATATCTAAAGGTTTAGAAATCAATAGTTTTATTTGCAAATACATTTCTTTTTTCATTGAACATTATCTCTAAAATGTGGCCACAGATTATTAAATTATATTTTCTGAAATTAATCTGAATGAATGTGTCATCAAACTGGGGTGGCCAGGCCTTTTATTATTATATTATTATTTATTATGTTATTATTGGGTGGCATCTGCTTCGTTTCCAGTGCCTTTTAGGGTGCCCTGCCAGTGGATGAAAGTGCCCACTCTTGGTTGCGAATTGTAACCCTGAAGCTGTTTATCCATAAATTCATCACAATTTTCTACGCACTGGTGCCCTTTATTATTTTTTGCCCCAGTCCCTCAAACACCTCTGAAACTGAATATTTGGAAACTCATCACTGAAGCTGTGTTTCTTCAGGTGTTTCTGCAGGTCTTTGGGGTTTATGTGATACTGCAGGCCATAGAAGTGAGACTCTGCTGCCATCCTGTGGGTTGAAATCCTTCAGTGGGGAGCAGATCTGTGTTTGTCCACTAGGTGTGACTGTTTCCAAATGCTGTAAATCTTTTCAGTTATTTCCTAATTTCAGGCGTGTTTGTCTTGATTTATGGCCAGGGGGAGCCTCCATTCTTTGTGCTGTTCCTCATCGATGGAGTCTCTCCAAATCAAGGCGGTTGTTGGTCATTAGGTCACAATTGCTGGACGACGGCTGCGGAACGTCAGTCCCACATCAGCACTGAAACATGCTGCAATCACGTCCCACACCTCGAGGAGTTGTATAAGGCGAACATTATCGAGGCAGAGAGTGATTAAGACATTTATGTGAGCTCACAGTGCTCAGTGCATGGATAGAAAGACTGAGCAGGCCAGTTTAAAATTACTCTTGGTACCTGAAAAGTTTATTTCTGAAATCCAACAATTCTGAAGTCATTTCTTCTTTTTCCACATTGAGTGTCATAACAGACACTTTAATGTATTTTGCTGTTTTGTGCTTAGTTTCTACATTCTCTCAGTTTTTTATTATGATTATTAGTTTTTACATTATAGCTTTTATCAGGTCAGGGGGAAGATGTTTACTGTTTTTCCATCATTATTCATTTGGGTTCAACCAGACTACATGTTCCTCAGTGGAACAATGAATCACAGTGCACAGAATCATTGTTTAACTGCTCTCTGTGGGCATGTTGCATTCTGGCCACGTTTCAATCAGTGATCTCAAAGCCCGTCCTGTTGGGTATAAAACCCAGAATGTGGTGAGCCAAGTGCAGCCGCCAACTTTTCATTCATTTTCTATGAGAAATAAATGAACTGTGACCTAAAAGAGATGAAAAATGGTGCTGTGGTAACCAATCACAATCAAAATCTCTCATAGAAGCGACAATTCACATGTGTCCTCTGTGGGGGACATGACACTGAGGCCTTTATTTCAAACATCATGCATGCTGTTTAATTGAGTCCTAATGTCCTGTAAAGAGGACATACTGGGCTTTATAGTGATGTAACACACATGGGGGTTTGGCCAACAGCTAAAACTGAATACAGACAGGCATCATTAATTGTTATTTCTTTCAGTGTGTATCGGTGTCCGTGTAGCCAGGATGCGTACGTCTAAACACTGCCTTCAATTCATTACATAACATCTGGTCTTCTCCAGCTGTTACAGTCAGCTCTGTTAAAATATCCACAAAAATATTTCCAAATCAGGCTCAGTTTATGTGGACTGCTGAGGCCTTAAAGAGAAACTCCCCTAAATGACCCTCAGTTATTTACTCCTCAGGGTAACTGGCCAAACGTAGAGACAGCGACGCCTCGTCCAGATGTTTCCAGCAGCTAGAGTGGAGTTTGATATCAGAAAAATTGCGGCAAACATGAGGTTTTTTGAGTCAGTTCCTCAGAATCAAAGAGTGAGAGCTGCTTTTGAAATCTGCCATGTTGTACTAAAGTTGATCGGTCATACAGAAATAAATGTTTGAAACCTAAAGTAGTTCTACCCTAAATTTTAATGTAAGTTAACATTTTCAGGGTGAAAATGTCATGTTCGTACTCGTAGAGAGAACTTTGATTTCAGGCAAACGTGTAGTTTTATGGGTCTGTCAGACATGGTGGATTTCTAATTGGATTTACAAGTTTTGACAATCAATTCTTTGTTTCATTTTGTTGTTGAAATACAGAATATCTGCAGCTGAAAATATATCAAGTGAAATCTGAAACGTTCTTTTGGAAAAGCAACACTGATTGTGAAACACCCCACTGGTTCAACTGTAAGAGCCATATCAACAAATGCTTAAAAAGGAATGGTTGATTTCCCACTTTATAAGCCAAGAACTCCTGACAAGACCCATAAAGTTGACTGTAACTTTTTCATGTTCCGTAACAATTTTCTCAAATAACGCATAGATTGTTTTAAGACCAAATCTATTGGAGAAATACTGTGGTGGAGGTTCACTTCAGGTTGGCCCCTCAGCTCAGCCAAAAACAAACTTGATCCAAAACCACAGTGCACTGTCATTAATGGTTCTTTTGGAGCGAGCAGCCTTGGTTTCAGTTGCTCTGCTCACGTGGATTGCCTGTTTCTCCTTATAAAAAAGCTCCCCCAGATAAAGTTTGGTTGTGAGCTTGTCAGTGGAAGTTGGAGGATGTGATACAGCCTCAGCTGGGTGTGACGTAGAAAACAACAAACTACATGAGTTTACACGAGCCAGTTGCTGACAGTGGACTTCCATTAACTGGAAGTAAACTCCACACTTCAAATTCAATAATCTTTTATTCTTTAGTACGTCAATTTCTGTCATTTCTGTGATTTTTCGCAATCACTCAGTCAGAAAAAGCTGCTGCAGTGTAATCTTGTTATCAGACTACCTCATGTTTTTTCAAGTCCTGTAAGGTCCAAGCCACATTCTGCACAGAGAGTCAGACCTGAGGAGGTCAGATGGACTACAAACACTACAGGTGAGGTTGGGTTCTTGATCTTCCAAAGATTAACATTTTGAAACCATGTGGACAGTTATCCACAGGAAGAAGAACTAGAAGAACTGTTTCTGGTTCTTCAGTTGATCTGTTTCTGCTTGTAGATTTGCCCTGATTTGGCTGTCTGATCTGGAAACGTCACATTCGTCATTGTTTATCTTGATTTTGACCAAAATCAGCATCAAAGATCCAATTTCAGTGATCACCTACTTGCAGCCAATATCTGAAACCACAAACATGATGCAGTGGGGAAATTAAATGTTGCAGAGAGGTTCTGACCTGAAGTGGACTGTTTGGATGGATGGGAGGAGGTCTGAGTCATCTAACAGACAAACACACATATACAAACACACTCACACACTCTCTGCAGGCCTGGCAGCTGCATATTAATATACGCCAACTCTGACTTTGTTGTTCTCTCTTTTGTCTTTTTCACGCTCTCTTTTTCCAACTCGGACACGCACATGCATAAATCAAAACATTATTGCTGACTGACTCAACTTGAGAGGAATTAGATTGATATTTCACACACACACACACACACACACACACACACAGACTCTCTCTCTCTCTCTCTCTCTCTCTCTCTTAGTTTCCAGGAAAAGCAGAGCAGAGCGTTTGAATGGCCTCCAGCGGACTTCACATCATAAACAGGAATGATGAGCTGTCCAATTGACACTGGAGCTGAGGAGAGGCAGGCAGGCAGAGGACACACATCCATTGGGAATGGAGCTTTTGTTCATATATTACATTTTATATCTGTTTAATGTTAAGTCTGACTCATTATACATGCATGACTCACAGTAAACATTTTAAAATTATGTTTCCAAGGCAAAGAATCTCAATTCTGAAATAAGTTGTAGCTTATTTCTTCCTATCCTAGCATAGAAAACAACTGGAATCTCAGTTTAAGTAATTAGGATATACACTTTGAGACAACTTCTTATTACTGTTTCACATTAATTCCATCTGAAAAGGAAATAAAATGTATTGTAAATATTTCCAAATAGCCTCAAATCTTAATGTTTTATTACTCAGCTCCCTGTGGTGCATGGATACAAACTTATTACAAAATGCAGACTACTTTATTGTTCACAAATGCACATAATTTAATTAAACAGAGTGGGACAGTTATATTTTGTTCAGCCAAACTTTCTCCAATAAATGTTCTTTGCTGTTACACCTCAGTATCATGTGACAGGAAATTAAACATCCAATAGTCGTGCGTGAGGAGATGAATAACATTATGCTCGGCCCCCCTGTGCATATTATTATATAACAAAACTAAATCATGTTTTAGTAACATCAGACCACTTAGTGTAACACTCTTGGCAAGACCTGTGTCTGTTAAATTGTTCCATATTATTCTGGGAATCCCTTCAAGGACCACAGAAACGCCTTCAAGGATCCACAGGACTCCTTCAAAACCCCTTAAACTCTTTCAATGGTCAGTCAAAGGGCCAGTAGAACATATTTAAGGACCCCTGGAACTGCTTTATGGACCAATGGAACAATTTGGGGGGTCAACTGAACTCCTTCGAGGATCTTTGTGACTCCTCCGTTACTAGTTGATCAACTTAATTGGCCACTAGAGGTCATGCAGGGCCACTAGAACCCCTTATCTATGGAACTCTTCCAAAGACACTGGATCCCCTTCAGTAATCACTTAAATCCATTCAAAGACCTCTAGAACCTGTAAAAAAAAACCCTATTCTATGAACCTTGGACCCCTTCAAAGACCACTACTTCACCTCCAAGTACCATTGGAAGATCCACTGAGTTCCTTCAAGAACTCTTGAACTAACTTGAGGACCATTGGAGCCCCTTTAACTACCAGCCACTGCAAG